CTTCAGAAACACTCACTCATTCTTGGAATTATGAGTAAAGCAACTCCCTGATTCCCTTATGGATGTAGGTCCAGGGTTCCCGCATCAAATCCTGTAAAAGTCCTGACTCGGACACTCCATTAACGGTTTTGTCTGCATTTTTCATCTCTCCTAAAGCAATAACAAACACTCTGGTAACTCAGCTTCCATCAAACACAGGATATCAGCCTGATTCTGAATTGGATTTTAAAACACTCTCCTCCTGCTTTGAAAGGTTCAGTGATGGGAATTCCACCACCACTTTGGAAATCCATTCTAACAATTACTGACTTACATTCACTATTAAAAACTATTAAAAAATTTTTTTACTGCCCAGAGAAGCTGTGGCTGCCCCACCCCTGGAAGTGTTCCAGGACAGGTTGGATGGGGCTTGGAGCAGCCTGGGCTGGTGGAAGGTGTCCCCACCTATTGCAGGGGGTGGCACTGGGTGAGCTTTAAGGTCCCTTCCCACCCAAACCATTCCATCACTCTCTGATTCTCTGATTTTTTTAATTCATATTTATTATTCTGAATGTGTCTCCTTTCAGCTTCTGCTCCATGTCCTTTGTTAAGCCCATCTGCCAAAGCTCCCTGGGATTATATTTAATTTCTCTAGGACTGGTATTTTTGGAAATATCAAACCCTTCCTTAACCCCCGTGGGTTATTCTTGCACCCCCTGAGTCCTTGTCTGTAAAGCTGCACCTCTTCCCAAACCCATTTCCAGTCCTTCAGCCATTTCCACTGACCTTCTCAAACCCTTTGGTCCTTCCAGTTTTCCAGCCAGGATCCTGCCCCCACCAAGCACAGAGGAGAACCTCTCCTGTTTGTCCTGCTGAATGTTGTCACCATCCACGGTCACAAAATCACCCTGAAAACGCACACTGAGCCACCTGCAGACCAGGACCTCCAAGAACTGGTTTTGAGCCATTCTGCCCAGCACATTTTCCTTTCAACTGGCTTCATTCCTCCAGTATTTTCCCATTCCCCTCTATTTCGTAAGTGTTCCTCCTGGTCATGCAAATGAGTGTTAATGGCACAGAACTCAGCCTGATCTCTGCAGGGCTCTGCTTGAAAACACCCTCCAGCACCTTCTTTTGGCAGTTACATTGAGGCCAACGAGCTACACAATTTTCAGGGAGTCATGGAATCCCAGAATGGCTTAGGTTGGAAAGGACCTTAAAGTCCATCCCCTTCCAAGCCCCCCTTCAGGGATTCTTCCCGTTCTCCTGTCTGGGTGGTGCATTGTCTGTTGTTTTGTAACAATAAACACATTATGGCAACAAGATCACTTCGTTAATCAGAATTAACCTTGCAGGAAGATCCAGGCTGGGTCTGACTCCACCAAACTGCCAAAGCCTGAGCTCGGCTGGCACGAGTTACCTTTTTATTTACTGATCAACAAGCAGCTCAGCTCAGCTCTGTTGGTAAACATGACATGTCAGAGACTGCCCTGACTTCATCCTCCATGTCCCCCAGCAATGAGATCATATGGATGTTGTTCCAGGGCTCTGGGACCTTTCCAGGGCTCTGAGACACATAAACCAGCAGCAGTTAAGTATCTAAATTAAGAAATTACCTCAAAATGCAGTTTGGATTGAAAACACAGGCACTGCAATTCCAGATCTTGCTGGGTCACCTCAGAATCCCAGAATCACTGAGGTGGGAAAAGCCCTCCAGGATCACACAGAGCCCCCCCTGTGCCCGATGCCCACCCTGTCCCCAGCCCAGAGCCCTGAGTGCCTGCCTGGGACACCTCCAGGGCTGGGCACTCCAAACCTCCCTGGGCAGCCCCTGCCAGTGCCTGACCACCCTTTCCAGGGACAAATTCCTCCTCATGTCCCCCCTGCCCCTCCCCTGGCACAGCTGGAGGCCGTTCCCTCTCCTCCTGGCCCTGTTCCCTGGGAGCAGAGCCCGACCCCCCCCAGCTCCCCCCTCCTGTCAGGGATTGCAGAGCCAGAAGGTCCCCCCTGAGCCTCCTTTTCTCCAGGCTGAGCCCCCCCAGCTCCCTCAGCCGCTCCTGTTGGGAAGGGCAGTCCCTCCCCACCAGCACAGTTGCACAATTTCTGCCCCCGGCCAAACCACAGCCCGGAAACGACTCACCAGTAACCTCCAAACCATTAGTTTACATTCTTTGCTACCAGTTCTGTGTTTCCTTCCTTCTTCAATGAGCACAGCTGGTTTTTTTTTTTTTTTCGTTTTCCAAGCCTTGTTTTCCCTGGAACATTTGGCCAAGTATTGTTAAACTGCCCCCAGTTTTTCCTATTTCTGTTCTTTATTTACTCAGCTGAAGCCATCTCAGCCTTCCAGCCTCTCCCCCAGCACTCTTGGGTGCTGATGAGCTTCTCCTGCACCTGAATCAAACGTAATCAAGCCCTGATGGCCGACACCTGAACAGTGACTGACTGGGGCCTGGAGCAGCCCCTGCTGTGAGCCGAGTCCTGCACTGCCCACAGCTCTTCTCACGCTTCCAAACCACGTGTTGGGATGTCTGGGTGCTTTTTATTAGTAGCAATTTTTTTGTTTCAATGGGATCACTTACACAAAACCCCGGAGGTCTCGTGTCACTTCTATAAAAACCCCAGTAGGTCTTTTTTGTCCTGAGTTCCTTTTATTTTTATGTGATTTAGTGTTTGATATAAACCCCTACTTACATTGTTTCTGCACCAAGTCAGTATCTGTTCTTCCCACAGCTGTCCTTGTAGCACCAGGCTCTTATTTCCCAACACTTTGACTTTTGAGGGCACCATTTTTTTTTAATTTAATTAAAGCTGTCAGCACAGAGCAGATGTCTCTGAGCTGCCTCGCTGCTGCCAGGAGCGTCCGGGCAGCCATCCCAGTCCCTGCAGGAGGAGTCCAGCCATGTCCTCACTGTCCCTGTCCCTGCAGGAGATGTCCAGCCATGTCCCCACTGTCCCTGTAGGAGATGTCCAGCCATGTCCCCACTGTCCCAGTCCCTGCAGGTGTTGAGATGTGTCCCCACTGTCCCAGTCCCAAAAGGCAATGTTGAGTAGGGAGGAAAAGGCAATGCAGTGTTGGGAAGCTGAGGATTGTCTGTTCCCAGCTGGAAGCCCAAAGCAAACTTGGGGCACTTCTAAACCAGCTTCTTCAGTAGCTCTTGCATGACAACACAACCCCCCAAAGTGAGACACCTGCTCCAGCCTTTACCTTTCCCTGCCCTGCTGGGCCTGACACGTGTTTGATCCGTTCATGAATTAAAGAGTCCTGGCAAAGGGAAGAATTCCTCCAGCTTGGTGGTCTGTGGCAGAGGTAAGACTTTAGTTTGTAGCTCTGGGATGAGCTCCTGCAGCCTTCCCTCACCCAGCCCACACCATCACTCCTGGCCTTGTTTTACAGAGGCATCACTGCCAACCGCTCCTTCCCTCCCGTCGGGGAGGCACCACACGGAAGCAGCACAGAAGGAAAGGAATCTACAGAGGGAAATGTGAATGGATCTGTGATCTGATGGCATTTCAAACAAGCTGTTTTGGTGAGGCTGAGCAGCACCTCGCTGGTTTAGAGCCACCGTCAGCCCCACAGCAACCTCCTGGCCAAGGTGTGAAGCTCACGCTGTGGACAAGGGGCACCCTTGTCCTTGGGGGGCTGAGGAGCCATTTGTCAGGAGGACCACGTTAATTTGTCAGGAGAACAACATTAATTTGCCAGGAGAACCACATTAATTTGTCAGCAGAACACGGCCTCCAGCTCTGATTGAACAGCAGCACAACTACCTGCCGAGGTTTTTCAGGTTTGAGTGCAATTGCACCGAGAAAAGCAGAACCATTCTGTTCCATTAGATCAGATCAATCCCTCACTGCACAGGGCTAAAGCAAGCGCTGGGAAAGGTGGAAAATACTCAGTGGGGAAAGAGCTGGAAGAGACAAGCACAGAGCCAAGCAGAAATCAGCTCAAAGCCGTGTTGGGCAGGAGTCCAGCGTGGCAACTACTCTTCCAGGCCCAGTTCTGGATCCTCTACGCTTTTCACACCAGGAAGCCACACTACAATGAGCTCTGCAGTTCTCACCTTTCCAATATTTTGTCAATTTAGCCTCCAGCTTTTCCTTAACGACCACACTGTCAAGGGAGTGAGCAGAAGAGCCAGTCAATGAAACCACCTGGATCTGGGGAAGGCCAAAGCAGCACAGCCTGACATGGGACGGGCAGAGGGGGTGGGACATCCAGGTTTCAATACCTTAGTTCTCCATTCAGAACTGGGACAGAGAAACCAGTTCCAGAAGAATTTGGTATTCAAGATGTCAAAAGGAAACCGGAGGAGCATCAACTGCCCTCACTCTCCAACCTGCAGATGATTCAATAGTCATGAAAATGGGAATTCTCCCATTGTCCTTGAATTATATCCCTATGCTTTGCTCCTCTTCTTCTCTCTACAGCATGTGCTCTCATCTGTGCATAAGAAAAGGGGAAGCAGAGTGACCTCAGGGCTGTCCAAACCAACACCAGTGCAGTGGGGTTTCATTAAAATCATCCCATCAGTTCAACAGTGAGGGCACAACCCCAGAGTGACAATAATGGCACGGAGCAGGAACTCCAGTGAGATGGATATGGATGTAAAGCCAATGTCCCAGGCAGCAGCAATGGGCTGAACCTGCTGCTGCTGCTGGTTCTGGGCAACGTTAATCTGCAAGTGAATCCGTTTAACTTTGTTCTGTTTGTATCATTTTAATCTACAACAAGTGAGACAACAGAGCCTGATCCAAGACGAGGGTGAGCAAAAGGTGGCAGTGATGAGAAACCCCAAGAGCTGCAGGCAGGACACAGCCAGGCCTCGGCCCATCTGCACACCAGCACCTCCTGCAGCTCTTCTCTCCTCAACAAGGCACTCTTAACCAAACCACTCCCAGCCATTTTTCAGAGCAACACCCCTAACCCAGCACTGCAGTCATCACTCTCAGCCCAGGGCTCCCCAGTCAGTCCCAGCACAGCCCCTGGCTCAAGGCAGAACACGGATTCAGGGGGTACTCACACGATGTGGGCGAGGTCGAGTGGCTTTTCTGGCTGCTCGGGGAACACGGGCCGGGGGGGCTCCCTGCTGGGGACACAGCCCAGGGATTTACTGATGGCGTGGCTCAGCTTCTTCGCCGGGGATTTCTGGGATTGGGAGGGAAAACGAGAGTGAGGGGCATGTTGGGAAGAACAGGGCAGCACCTGCAGTCAGAGTGTAAAACAGGCACAGGACAGAATATCCAGAAATACCCAGTTCTGTTATACCATTCCTGGGAAATCACTGCAGACACTGCACACAAGGGAACGAGGTCTGGGGGGGTTTTCCTGTGCTCTAATATTGAAAATTAAAAGGAGTTTACCAAAATTATGTAAGATTAAGAAATAAACCAATTATCTGGGGGTTCTCTCAGGAATTAAAGCAAGGGACAATCACATCCCATTAAGGGATTTTTTCACTCACTTTCGAGGTCCTATGAACACAGATGTTGTGTTCAGAGGGGAGGAGCAGGACAGGAGCAGGTCACTTCCCAGTTTTCTGTCCATCACGGGCAAAGCCAAGGTGGAACACAGTGTTAGGACAGATAGGAATGACCACTTTCTTTATTTCCTTTCAAGATTCATTCTGTTGAATGACCTCACAGGAGCAATGATCCCAGATCCTCAGGAACAATGAAAAGGCTGGTGACAAGTGTTGCCAGACCCACAGGAATGGTGACCTGCTCTGAGTTAGACGTGCAAAACATGGTTTAAATCCCACATTGACTTACAAAGTTAAGTCTCAAAGTGTTATTGTATCCACCAAGCTCCTGGCAGGGCTGTGGGAGTCCCGGGGATGGTCTTTTCCAGCCTTAATGATTCCATGATTAGGGAGCTGTGAGGGGTGAGGCCCTGGCACAGGTTGGGCAGAGAAGCTGTGGCTGCCCCTGGATCCCTGGAAGTGTCCAAGGCCAGGTTGGACGGGGCTTGGAACAACCTGGGCTAGTGGGAGGTGTCCCTGCCCATGGCAGGGGGTGGGACTGGATGAACTCGAAGGTCCCTCCCAACCCAAACCACTCTGTGATTCTCTAACACTAATTAACAATTTCAGACTTCGAAAGAGCTTTCAGGAGTCCAATTTATGCTCTTATTTATCTTCAGCTCTCCACGGCAGAGCAGATTGGTGTGACTTTATTTTCAGAGGCTTCCAAGCCCTTCCCATTCCCTTCTGGCACCGCCTCAGGACTGTGGGACTCGGCCAGCTCAGCCACTCCATCCCAGCCCCTTCCCCTGGGAACGCCTGGCAGGGGATCCATCCTGCATTCCCCCCTGGAATGGCACAGCCCGTGACTCAGCAGGGTCTGCAGCACTGTGGCCCTTCGGTCAGAGTGATGGAACCAAGAAAAGCCAGGCACAAAAATGCAAGGTGGACACGAGGCCCCGCGCCCTCCCTGGGCCCGGGCACTCCTGGGTTTGGGCTCCCTCCAAGATGTGAACTCACACAGCAACTCCTTCCCCCTTCTCTGACTACCCAACTGCAGAGGCATCCATGAAAGGTTGCTCTCCGCATTGTTCCAGGCAGTTTGGGAGATTCCTGTGTCACTCTGGCTCCAGCACCGCGCCAGCAGGGCAGCACCAAGGACACCTCCTGCTTCCCTGCACCAGGGGAGGGCACCTCTGGACACCGGGAACAATTCCTTGATGGAAAGGGCTGTCCAGCCTTGGCACAGCTGCCCAGGGCAGGAGTCAAGTCCCCACCCCTGGAGGGATTTAAAAGCCGTGTGGATGTGGCACGTGGGGATGTGGCTCAGCGTGGCCTTGGCAGTGCTGGGGGAATGGCTGGACTTGGTTATCATCTTGGAGATCATTTCCAACCTTAACGATTTCATGATTCTGTGATTTTTATAAACTTTACCAGCTTTCTGAAATCCTTTCTTCATCAAATTCTCAGCCTTTTATATATTGAGACCCATTAGTGGAGGACACTCCCCTTTGCCCAAATATATCAATAAATATTCAAAAGAAACAGTTTCTGCTTCTTTTTCATCCTGTACAGAATAACGAAACTCATGGGAAACGTTTGACACCAAGAGGGTTTAAGGAATCAGCAAACCTAAATCCCTCTGGGGTGGGCACTCCAAACCTCCCTGGGCAGCCCCTGCCAGTGCCTGACCACCCTTTCCAGGGACAAATTCCTCCTCATGTCCCCCCTGCCCCTCCCCTGGCCCAGCTGGAGGCCGTTCCCTCTCCTCCTGGCCCTGTTCCCTGGGAGCAGAGCCCGACCCCCCCCAGCTCCCCCCTCCTGTCAGGGATTGCAGAGCCAGAAGGTCCCCCCTGAGCCTCCTTTTCTCCAGGCTGAGCCCCCCCAGCTCCCTCAGCCCCTCCTGCTGCTCCAGCCCCTTCCCAGCTCCGTTCCCTTCCCTGCCCACGCTCCAGCCCCTCCCTGTGTCTCTGGTGTGAGGGGCCAGCCCTGCCCCAGCACTGGGGGTGCCCCAGCAGTGCCAGCACAGGGAGGGCACTGCCCTGGGCCTGTGACACAGCAGTGCCCCATTGGCCTCGTGCCCCCCTGGGCACAGCCGGGATCGTGTCCAGCCGCTGCCACCAGCACCCCCAGGGCCTTTCCCAGCTTTCCAGCCCCTCTGTCCCAGCCTGGAGCATTGCAGGGGGTTGCTGTGACTGACACCACGCAGCCATTCCCGGTCTGTGTGTGCCCTCTGCTGGGAACCCGCGCTAGGAAGGGATTTCCAGGTCATTTGGGATCGGGGCTCACGTGCCGGGCCCCGCGCACAGCCAGGAACGTGCGGGATCCGAGCGGGATCCGAGTGGGATCCGAGCAGGACACCGGGACAGCTGTCCCGCACCTGGGGCCGGCCACAAACAGCTTCAGAGAGGTTTAATTACTTCAAAGGCATTCTAAATGGGAAATGAAATGAGCCAGGAATACGAAAGATGCGATTCCCCGAGCAAAACCTCATCAGCAGCTCCCACGGCATCGCCGGGGCGGTGCAAGGGGCTGTCCCTGGTTTAGATCCCATGACATCCCGTGGAAGGACTCCCCACGGGAAGCCAGGGCTATCCTCACCCCAGGAACATCTGAACACGCCTTTGATTTGTTTATCTATGATCCAAAGCCACCAGCTGAGGCGGTTTTAAGTCACAAACATTCCATTATTTACAGCAGGAGGAGCATCCTGACCTACCTACAGCTGAGAAACTCCCCCAAACCACACCCCAGGCACAAACTGGGGTAATCCGGGTATTTTAATTATGATATTAAATATTAAATAATAAGTTTAACTATAACATTGATGATATTTTTAATTAACCTGAAATTTACTGCTGACAGATTGCTTAAGCTCAGCGAACTGACCCAAAAGCCCCAAGCAGAATGAGCTCTGGCTAATCCCCCCCGGCTTTCAAAATGAACAGCTGGATTTGCAGTTCTGCTGCGTGCACGGAACACACTGAGCTGTGTCCAGGGCTGTTCAGCAAAACCAAAACTGAAATGGCCCAACAGGAAACATTTGGAAAGTGTTTGAAGGTTTTTATCCCCCCAAACAGGCCCCAACAAGCAGCATTTTCGTGCACTAAAACCTCTCTCAAAAATAGGTTTCTCCCTGAAGTTATAAATAAAAAATCACTATAGTAATAGATTTTAATATACTCACTGGAGCAATATATATATTTATATGTATTAAACATCTCTTTACTATGTGATTTACAGTATGAGAAAACTACCAAAGGCAGTTCAGAATTTCAGAAAAAAGAACCTATAATAATAAGTGTATTAATAATAACATTAACAATAAGCATAATTACTAATAAGTATGTTAATAATAACACTAATAATAAGTATGAGGTACTTATTATTAATGCTTATTCTGGGTCATACGGCTCCAAAACTCTGAAAATACACCAGGCAGGACTGAACTAATTCTGGCTGACACTGAAAACCTGGAAAAAGCAAATCTCTTGTTTGCCTGTACCAGAGCACCTGCTCAGCCCTGCTCAGCTGGAGCATTTGGGCTTTCACTCAAGGAATTATTGCTGAGCAAACACACAAGGAAGTCACTGAACCAGCGGTACAGTCCAAATCCAAAACTAGGACATGGTTTTTAAATTAAGATTCTTTTTCAGTTTTCATAAAGTTAACACGTAAGACTTGCAGAAGTTAAAAAAAAAATTAAAAGAAATTAATATGTAAGAGATCTCTCTCTCCAAGGCTCCTCTTCCACGCTCAGCTGAAGAGCTTGAAGGTCCCTTCCCACCCAAACCAGTGTGGAATTCTATGACTTAGATACATCTTTAGATTAAACCCTCCGACTGGATTTATATACACTTAAGGGGATAATAACCTACTCTTAACTCAGATTAAACATTCCACAAGTTTAATATAAAAAGGACAATATTTAAGACTAAATTTTCCTTTGCCTCCCAACTCCGGACTGGGATCCAGCCCCAACTTTCTAAATTTAACAGCACTGCTATAATGGCACCTTCTCATGAAGAGAATTACTAATTATAATCCAATCATTATCTGAACTTCTCCTCGAATAAGTAAAAGGTTGGCTTTAATCTTTTGCCACAAAATAGGCTTTTCTACATAAAATTGCCCATTATTTCTTGAGCTGTGATTGTCAAACTGCATGTTACTGCTCAGGTGATTTCTTTAAGGCTTTTTAATTAAGAGTTTTCCAGGCATATATTTACACCTGGCAGGGGAATGACAATAATATGTTTTTCTCTTGAAGAAATACTGTCTTTAAAGGTGCCACTGGATAAAAGACCTGTGTGAGCACAGCATCCATGGTAAGTGGTTCCCTTGCTGGGCAGGACAGGAAGTGTTCAGGTATTTTTAAGCTACAAGAGAGGACAAAATAAGAGAAGTGGGACTGATGTGAAGAGAAACACCCCTGTCAAGGGCCCAAGCAGGATGGTGCCCTCAACAGCACCTGAGCCCAGGGACAACCATCAGCAAATCCACGTTATGGGTAAGAGAATCACAGAATTGTTTGGGTGGGAAAAGCCCTCCCAGCCCGTGGATCCCCCCTGTGCCTGACCCCCACCCTGTCCCCCAGCCCAGAGCACTGAGTGCCATGGCCAGGCCTTCCTGGGACACCTCCAGGGCTGGGCACTCCAAACCTCCCTGGGCAGCTGTGCCAGGGCCCTCTGTCCCAGCCTGGAATGTCCATGGGGCTGTTGTGAACCAGGGGCAGGACCTGGCACTTGGCCTCACACCAGTGACCTCAGCCCATGGATCCAGCCTGTCCTGATCCCTCTGCAGGGCTTTCCTGCCCTGCAGCAGATCCACATCCCACCCACCCTGGTGTCATCCATGACCTGACTGAGGTGCCCTCGATCCCCTCATCCAGATCATCGATAAAGATGTTAAACAGGTCTGGTCCCAGTGCTGATCCCTGTGTAAGCCACTGGAGCCCATTCCCAGCTGGATGTGACTCCACTCCCCACCTCTCCCTGGGCCATCAGCCAGGTTTAACCCAGTGAAGAACAAATAATAACCCCCAGTGCTGTTCCTATCCATGCACTTCTGCTCTTTGGAGAACTTGGAAAGCCCCACTGGAGGATTTCTAGGCTAAAGGCTGCAACTTCCAGAAGGAATTAGCAGGGGAGGCTGTCCCAGCCCCAGTTACCCAGGAGGAGTGCTCCTTCATCTGGTGCTGGTTGCTGTGGGGGCCGTTGGCGTGGCCTCTCCAGAAGCAGTTCTGGCAGAGCTGGTAGTTGTGGCACTGCTGGCACCGGTACCGGAATCCCATCATGCTCTCACAGTGGCAGTACGAGCACTCCACGGGGTGGAAGACTGGCAGGAGGGGGGAAAAACAAAGAGAAAAAGGTATCAAGTCAAATTTAGGAAAACCTCGAGCACCCCATTTCGTTGCAGCTTCCGAACTACCCCCAGGTCCTTCCCCACTTGTTATTCTGGGCAGGATTTTGAGCGGAATAAACCAAAGATGAAGGTGAGAATGAGATGAAGGAGAATACACCTTACCACAGGAAATGCATCCTGAAAGGTGAGGGACAGGGAACAGAACCAGAACCAGGGCCTCCCCACCCTCACAGCCAACAATTCCTTCCCAGTCTCCCATCTGTCCCTGCCCTCTGGCAGTGGGAAGCCATTCCCTGTGTCCTGTCCCTCCAGCCCTTGTCCAAATTCTCTCTCCAGCTCTCCTGGAGCCCCTTCAGGCTCTGGAAGGGGCTCCAAGGCTCTCCCTGGATCCTTCTCTTCTCCAGGTGAGCCCCCCAGCTCTCCCAGCCTGGATCCACAAGTTCTCCCCCACCTTTTCAAAACTGTCCCTTCCCCTCCCTGGCTCCTGCAATCAGCAGAGATTCCTACTGATAAAAGGGGACAAAAGCACCACAGTGTCCTGAGCCAAAGAGTCCAAACACTGACAGGGGGATCTGGGAAAGCAGTTACACATTCTGATTAAATAAAACCAGAGGCACAACCACCCCAGGGACAGCACTCCACGTCACTCCCTGTCCTGCTACAGGCACAGCCCCAGAACCGTGGGTAAAGAGGAGACTGCAACAACCAGCATCAGGAATATTAGAGCAGGGGCAAGGCACCTGCCAGCAAGATGGAAACCAAAGAGGTGGGAGCTCTTTGGGGTGGCTGCAGAGTCTTTTTTTTGGGGTTTTACTTGTATATCCCATTTACCATTTTCAACATGGGCGAGTCTGTGCATGAGAGGGAGCCACACAAGGCACTGGGGAGGAGGATCAGCCATCAGCGTGTCCAAGAACATGTTTAGCATGATCTTTTTCTGCAAAGAAAAGAGAGAGAGAACTTGATTATATAGAAAAATTCTGATTTTATACACCAAAAAACTTACTTCAGCCTTAAAATTTCTCTATGGCACAACTTGTGCCTGCCAGGAACATTTCACAGACTGTCTTAGAATCCTAGAACCCCAGACTGGGCTGGGTGGGAAGGGACCTTAAATCCCATCCAGTCCCACCCCTGCCATGGGCAGGGACACCTTCCACCAGCCCAGGTTGCTCCAAGCCCCATCTAACCTGGCCTTGGACACTTCCAGGGATCCAGGGGCAGCCACAGCTTCTCTGCCCAACCTGTACCAGGGCCTGCACCACCCTCCCAGGGAGGAATTCCTTCCCAATATCCAATTGGGATAGTAAATTTGGAGCCTCATCGGTTCTGAAATCAAAGGTTGTTTCCCACTGTGTCATATCCCAAATACACTAATTGCTAATTAACTCATATTTAGTGACTACACATCTTACACCTAAATACTGCAGAAATATTTCTGCTGGAACATCACCATGCCCAGAGTCTAAACATTTCATCTGAGGCTTAAGATCACCCAGGTTCATGTTTACAGTTGAGTTAAATACTATTTACATCATCTCAAATAAGAAACAAATCATTGGAACAACTAAATTACAACTGAAATAGACTTAAAAATAAACTGCACGTAAAGAAGGTGTTTATTTGGTGCAGACCCGGCCAACAAGGAAGTGACTCGTTGAAACAAATTGTGAAGAAGCTTTAAAAAAATCCAAAGAAAATAGTAAAAACCCCGTGTTTCATGTTCTGGAAAAGAAATGGCTCATCCCTGCTGCTCCTGGTGGGGAACTGGGGTGTCACTTCAAGGAGGGGAATCAACTACATTGGTGGAAAATCCTTTAATTGCCTCATTTAGGTCGTCTTAAAACTGCTTGGGATATCACCACGCCCACCCTCCCAACCTCCCCAGGCCGTGGGGTTGATGAAGCAGGAATTCCAGAGCCTGGCTGGGAGCTCTTACCTGCTGTGGGAAGCAGGTCCGTACGGAATGCTCCGTGTACCCAAAGGAAGGCCCCTCAAACACGGCCGTTGGGAGTTTCAGAACTTCCTTCAAAAACTGGTCAAACTTGGTAAATATCATTAGTCCGTTGGAATCTGATATCTGAGAGAAAACATCTGTAAGAAAATATAATAAAACCCGATAGTAAATACAGATTTATTATAGCAAAAAATATTTCAATCCATTTGAACCCCAAGGTGTTTCTTTCTGTTTTATCCAGAACATAATTTATCACTTGCTATCACGATAAAATTTATAAATGTGTGTATTGCAACATGCCATGGTACAAATCTTCCTGTTTCCTCCATCTCATCTCATCCAGTCCAGTCCAGAGGAAAGATCCTGCCAGTGCATGAAGTGGGACAGAAAGGGAGCAGAGCAGGATAAATGTTACACAGCATCACACCCTCAAGGTGACGCCACAGAAAACCCCCTGAGCAGCCTCCTCCAATCAAACACAGCTGGCCAAGCCACACACTCAAACCTGGCAGGACTCCAGGTGAATGTGGTGCACCTCAGTGGCGTGGCAATGGAAGGAACACATCACAGGGTCATGGAATCACTGAGGTTGGAGAAGCCCTCCAGGATCACACCGAGCCCCCCCAGCCCAGAGCACTGAGTGCCACGGCCAGGCCTGCCTGGGACACCTCCAGGGCTGGGCACTCCAAACCTCCCTGGGCAGCCCCTGCCAGGGCCTGACCACCCTTTCCAGGGAGAAATTCCTCCTCATGTCCCCCCTGCCCCTCCCCTGGCACAGCTGGAGGCCGTTCCCTCTCCTCCTGGCCCTGTTCCCTGGGAGCAGAGCCCGACCCCCCCCCAGCTCCCCCCTCCTGTCAGGGATTGCAGAGCCAGAAGGTCCCCCCTGAGCCTCCTTTTCTCCAGGCTGAGCCCCCCCAGCTCCCTCAGCCCCTCCTGCTGCTCCAGCCCCTTCCCCAGCAGCCCCCAGGAGCTGGGGTGCACTGACCCCATCCCCAAGGTACAGCACAGGAGTTGTGCAGGAGAGCAGGTGGGAAGGGGAATCAGATTCCATGTTAGATCTGAAATGTTTGGAAGAAATCCCTTCGCTGGGAGGGTGGGCAGGCCCTGGCACAGGTTGCCCAGAGAAGCTGTGGCTGCCCCTGGATCCTTGGAAGTGTCCAACCTGGGCTAGTGGAAGGTGTCCCTGCCTCCACAGGAAATCATCTGTCCCAGAGCCAGTGAAGTGGCCTCAATGACCCTCTCCCAGTCCACCTGTGCTGTCAGACACGGCAGGAGCTGGGAATGCTGTCTGGTCACCTCCTCAGCGTGCAGGAAAACAAGCCTGTAGATGTGCAAGCAGAGAGACCAGGTTCCAACCATTCATAGAGTTTATGAGATGAGAGAGCATTAAAAATACGAGTTTCAGGATTTCCAGAGAGCCTCAAGTTCCAGCCGAGCCAGAGCTGCCAACCTGCTCAGGAAAGGGCTGGAATCAGGGGGACAAGGAACCTGGAAACAGGAGCTGTGTGGTGATGAAGTGAGTCAGGGGGGGGAAGAAAAGGGAGAAACCAAGTCAGCATGCTCATAATGATCAGAAGAAGAAATAAAGAATAAGAGAACAGCTGAGGCAGAGAGATCAGAAGCCTGTTCATCCCAAGAGCAGATGGTCGGGCCGGCACATTCCCGGCATGTTCCTCCCTCCCTGAGAGTGCCTTTGCTCTCAGCAGCCTTTGATGAATTTATTTCCTTCAGTGGAATTGGTTCAAGGAGCAATCGAGGGGTGTGGATGTTGGATACCCCCCACATCCTCTGGGAAAGCTAAAGCAGAACGGGTTTCTGCTCTTCCATCTGTCCCTGCTCCTTCCAGTCGCTGCCCTCGGGTTCCTGTCCTGGAAGGGGAAGGGCACAGCTGGAAGGGGAAGGGAACAGCTGTTTCCTATTCACCACCAAGTTGCTCTCCAGGCTTTAACAGAGCACTGTGTCACACCACCAGTTTTCTCTGCAGGTTGAGCAATCTGCTCCATCTCCTTGTCCAGCAGGATTTGGGGTTTGGATCGTGGGCTGCTCTGCACCACAGCAGACCTGTGCAGGCAGCTGGGGAACACTCCCTGGCTCAGAGAGGGAACACTGGCCATGGCACTCAGTGCTCTGGGCTGGGGGACAAGGTGGCATCACTCACAGGCTGGACTCAGTGGCCTGAGGGCTCTTTTCCAACCTCAGTGGTTCTGGGATTCACAGGGATCCCAGATTCACAGGTCAGTGTCGAGATCGCTGACTCGGCAATAAACGAGCTCCCAGAACTCGATACAAGAAACGTGAGGAAATGCAGTATTTCCCAAAATGGCTGGATTTATGCAGGATACTCACATCTGAGCTTGTCCAGGATTTTCCCACCACACATGGTGGCCAGCATGGCTTTCACTGAGAACACCGTCAGCTTCCCGTGGCCCTCGCTGTGGGAAAGAGCACATGGTGAGGAATTCCAACAGGGAATGGCAATCTCAAAAGTACTTAAGGTCTAGGGAGGAAATGTATAAGTCATTATACTACTATATATATCCATTATTTATATGTCTGCATTAACTACTAAGGTCTGCCAAAGCTATTTAATGTAACATTCAGACAGGGATAACGCCAGCATTTTTAATGCACTGGAAGAGTTAACAAGTGTCTAATCACAAATCACATTTCCTTGCAGAATTATGAAAAATCCCCAGACAAAGAGCCTCCCATTTGTACTGTCCATCCCATAACTCTTCTATAAAACAGTGCTAATTCACTTTTCCATTAAAATACATTTTTCATTGTAAACCTCATTTTTATCTCTGCTGCCCTTTGTTAGTGCCTTTGAACTTTTACTCCTTAATTTAAACTCTGATGCCCAAGCACACATTTCACTCTCAAAGCACCTGAACTGACAGGGAACAGAGAATTTGTGTGAGATCCTGGAGATACCACATGGAACAGGGACACTGGGAACAGCGTTCAGTGGCACCTCAAGGGATTAAAGATGCAGAGGCACATTTGGGGAAGCACTTCTGGATCAGCAAGAGAGAAGGGATTGGCTCTGTGGAAAGCAGGAAAGAGCCATCCAGCACAGTAGGATAAGTAGGGACAGACATGGGGGTTATTCCTGCTTCCAGGAGGAAGTTAAAGAAGAGATGCTGAGGGAGTGAAGGCACCAGGAGCACAGGAGGAGGCCTGGAGGGTTAAAGCACAGCACAGCTGGGCAGAGGTGGGGAAAAGCTGCTGGAATTCTGAACAAGCTACTGGCAGACAGAACTGCCCTGAGCCCCTGTCCTGACTACACACAGTGCAGTGCAGACTGACCCCCACCAAGGAACTCAGAGGTGCATGTTAAGGGACAAACCCCACTCAAATAAATTCAAATGCCTGCCATTAAAGGGGTTGGACAGGTAACTTGTACTGGCATGGAAAGCACATTGATGGGGGAAACACGTGAGGAGTGTGGGGAGAGATCCAGAGAAACCAGAAATACTTCTGAGGGAGTCTACAAAGAGCTGGAGAGGGACTCTGGAAAAGGGATGGAGGGACAGGACACAGGGAATGGCTTCCCACTGCCAGAGGGCAGGGAGAGATGGGATATTGGGAGGGAATTCCTGGCTGTGAGGGTGGGCAGGCCCTGGCACAGGTTGGGCAGAGAAGCTGTGGCTGCCCCTGGATCCCTGGAAGTGTCCAAGGTCAGGCTGGACGGGGCTTGGAGCAACCTGGGATGGTGGAAGGTGTCTCTGCCCGTGGCAGAGGGGGGAGGGATTAAATGAGCGTTAAAGTTGCTTCCCACCCAAACCATCCTAAAATTCCAGGATTCAGTGGGAAGGAGATGGGCATTAACATGTCTTGGACACTGTGAAGAACAGGACTATTTGAAGTGGATTTTGGCTCATGAAGGACAAGGTCTAACGTCAACAACGGATGAGCAACCAGTGGAGACACCAAGGAAGCAACCAAATCTCTTTTAACTCCCTTTTGTACTCAGAGTTAATATGGACATATTATTCTCTGGTAACATCTCCCATTCCATGGTGAGGAAAAGGCTCTCAGGCTGAGAAGTTCCTGAAGTACAAGGGGCTGTTTCTCTAATACAGACTCAGCAGCTTTCAAACATTCTCTCTGCAGAGGAGAGACAATCTCCTGGAGCCACAGCTGTGGGAAGCTCTGGGAAAAGGAACGGTGATCCCAGGACCATCACTTTGTGATACCCAGCACCCTTTAACTGCTGCTGGAAAAAACTAAACTAAGGGAGAAAATTAAACACATTCTGTATTTACTTCAAGAAACATAAAAAGAATAAAGTTCACAGCAAGGTAAAGATCTCAACTGTCCTATTTTGTTTCTTTTGTCTTTACAAGAGCTTCCCCAAAGGAACAAGTTGGCACTCCCTCTGCGTGTGGAAAATGACTTCATTACAGGGAATCTGAGATGGTTTGAGTGCCTGCCATGTGCAGGGACACCTCCCACCAGCCCAGGTTGCTCCAAGCCCCGTCCAACCTGGCCTTGGACACTTCCAGGGATCCAGAGGCAGCCACAGCTTCTCTGCCCAACCTGTGCCAGGGCCTGCCCACCCTCACTGGGAGAGATTCCCTCCTAATATCCCATCTCTCCCTGCCCTCTGGCAGTGGGAAGCCATTCCCCTTGTCCTGGCACTCCAGGTCCTTGTAAATAGTCTCTCTCCATCTTTCCTGTTGGCTCCTTCAGGTCCTGGAAGGCCACAGTCAGGTCACTCCAAAGCTTCTCTTCTCCAGGCTGGACAATCCCGGCTCTCTTGGCCTTTCCTGATGGCAGAGCTGCTCCATCCTCTGATCATCTTGGGGCCTCCTCTGGACTGTCCCCAGCAGCTCCACGTCCTTGTGCTGCTGTTCCCCAGGGCTGGGGCAGCTCTGCAGGGGGGTCTCAGCTGAGGGGGCAGAGGGGCAGGATCCCCCCAGCCCTGCTGCCCACGATCCCTGTGGGACCAGCCCAGGGCATGCCCGGAATTGGTGTCCAAAAAGTTCATCCTCTTCAAGCCTTGGCTTCCCCTTCTATCTGAGCAAAGCTCAGCTGCAAATTCAAACCTCCAGTCTCAGCTGCCCCCTTTCACTTTTCAATACACATTGACTTTATATCAAAGCAGAGTTCAGGTTTGAGTTATTCTTGAGTTAAATCAAGCCCCCAAAGCCAAAAGTGCCTCTTCACAGGACACAAAATTGTCCTTGCAAAGGAGATCCTGGTGCCATCAGACACTGGGCTCCTGCTAACATTGTTCATGCATCAAGAAAACCCCCAAACTGCTCCCCTGCAATCTGACAGAGAGGCAGTTCTTGAGCAATTTGCCCAAACCTTTGCACCAATGCCATTCCATCTGCTGGATTCCCAGCAGAAAGAAAAAAAAGGCAAAACTTCCCACATGATTTTGAATCTCCTGTAAAATCCAGGACTGGAAACAGAACTGGGGACGTGTTTGAGTCAGACCAGGCCTGTGTATCTGAGGCTCTTTCCTCAACCTCTAGGTGCTCCTGACCAGGGCTCTGCAGCAGACACCCCCAGCAGGGATGTCCATGTGGATCTCTCACTCATCCCGACTCAAACTCCAGCTGGCTCCTCATCTGGCCCCAGAGCAGCTCCCACTGCCTGCCTGTCCCTCCCAGAGCCACTACAGCATTCCAGCTGTGCCAGCTCTCCCACCACGTCCTCTCCAGAGGAATCAGAGCCCAGAGTCCTCCTTCTGGGGCACCCAGTCAGGCTGAATTCCCAGGAAAGACTGAGAGCCTGCTGAGCTGTTGGCATTGCCCAGGGAAGCTGTGGCTGCCCCATCCCTGGAAGTGTTCCAGGACAGGTTGGACGGGGCTTGGAGCAACCTGGAATAGTGGGAGTGTCCCTGCCCATGGCAGGGGATGGCACTGGATGAGCTTTAAGGCCCCTTCCCACCCAGACTGTCCCATGACTGTCACTGTACCTGTCTGGCAGAAAGCTCAAGGCTCTGTGACCTCCCACCAGCACAGCTGGGAGGAGCTCCAGCACTCTGTGCCTTCCAGCAGCACAGCCTGCCCAGGGATGCAATTCCAGCAGCACAGCCTGCCCAGGGATGCAATTCCAGCAGCACAGAGCCTGCCCAGGATGCAATTCCAGCACAGAGCCTGCCCAGGATGCAATTCCAGCAGCACAGAGCCTGCCCAGGATGCAATTCCAGCAGCACACAGAGCCTGCCCAGGATGCAATTCCAGCACACAGCCTGCCCAGGGATACAATTCCAGCACAGAGCCTGCCCAGGATGCAATTCCAGCACAGAGCCTGCCCAGGATGCAATTCCAGCAGCACAGAGCCTGCCCAGGATGCAATTCCAGCAGCACAGCCTGCCCAGGGATGCAATTCCAGCAGCACAGAGCTGGCCCAGGATGCAATTCCAGCACACAGCCTGTCCAGGATGCAATTCCAGCAGCACAGAGCCTGCCCAGGATGCAATTCCAGCAGCACAGAACCTGTCCAGGGTGCAATTCCAGCAGCACAGCCTGCCCAGGATGCAATTCCAGCAGCACAGAACCTCCCCAGGATGCAATTCCAGCACACAGCCTGCCCAGGGATACAATTCCAGTAGCACAGAACCTGCCCAGGATGCAATTCCAGCAGCACAGAACCTGCCCAGGGATGCAATTCCAGCAGCACAGCCTGCCCAGGGATACAATTCCAGTAGCACAGAGCCTCCCCAGGATACAATTCCAGCAGCACAGAACCTGCCCAGGATGCAATTCCAGCAGCACAGAACCTGCCCAGGATACAATTCCAGCAGCACAGCCTGCCCAGGGATACAATTCCAGCACAGAGCCTGCCCAGGATGCAATTCCAGCAGCACAGCCTGCCCAGGATGCAATTCCAGCACAGAGCCTGCCCAGGATGCAATTCCAGCAGCACAGAACCTGCCCAGGATGCAATTCCAGCAGCACAGATGTGCATTTTTCCAAACTAACTGTCTGCCATGTTGCTGAACTCCTGGAGAGGGAGCCCCAGCCCGGCCTCTCCTCGTGTTCCTGGCTCTCCCACGCAGCATCCCAGCTTCCCCCTCAGCTCCAAGTGCCAGGCAGAGGAAGGAAAAGGGAAGCTGCTGCACTGTGCTGGGATCCAAAGTGCTGCTGGGGTTGCAGAAAAGGCAGAGCTTGCAGGGTTGGGGAAAAGTGGAGGACAAATCCCACCTGTAACTAAAGCCCTGATCTTTTGAGGCAGCTCCCCAAAACATGACCATTTCTGGTTTTATACTGTTATGTCTTCCAGTGTGATCTGAGAGTAACTAAACCCTCGGCCAAGCCTTACAACTTGTCTCTCAGTTAAGGCCAAATCAGATCAGAAACCCCCTCCTGGCTCTGCTGTCACAGTGTCCCTGCTCTGGGCTTTGTGCTGGTTTATCCATCCTCAGTGAGACAGGGATTGCTCCGAGGGCTTGGACTTTTGGGGGACAAGCCCAGCTTCTGTTTTAGTGGCAAGAAGAAGTTGTCACATTAGGAAAGGATCAAAGCCTGGACATCACAAACAGACCAACTATTTGGCACGTTCATTGCTGGGGGCTGTCTTGGGTAAAACCCCTCATTGGGGCAAGAGCAGAATTCAGATCCCACTGAAACAACAGCTGATGCTGAAAACAAGAAGACCAAAAGTAAGAAGTGCCAACCCCAGCAAAGGATCTGCAGAGCCCACAGAGGCACAGCTACCCCAGATCAGCAGAGCAAACCCTGAAGAAATAGGCTGTGAAAGAAACTCCTAAGAACCAGACACGAGGAAATGCCTGGACAGAACCCTGAGCAAGAAATGCAGCTGCTCCCAGCCAGGAAGTGAGAACTGGCCCTTGTGGGGTCACAGCACATTAGCAGGGGATACAAACTGACTGTCCCAACAAGGCAGCGTCAGAAAAGGGTCCTTTTGAGCGATTTTCAGTAGAACACACTCACTCCTCACCCCAGTGCCAAACCAGCAGGAGGTCCCATCGTGCCCTGCCGCAGCAGCACCGTGTCCCTCCACACCCAGCTCAGCCCACGGCTCCCACCCGTCCCACAGGGCTCCAGATCCCTTCAGGAAGCACTGTCTGAGAGCTGCTGTGGCCCTGCCAGCGTCTGCAGGCCCCACTGTGACACATTAACCACACAACCCCACGGCCCTGAGCTCAGCATGCACCCCGACTGCCAGGCTCCTGCTTGGACAGCAAACAGGGCAAGGACAAACTGGAGCAGTTACTAGCCTGTCATATGCTGCTATCATGAAGTTGAGGAGGAGGCTGATGGATTGCTCTACACTGATTTGGTGAGTAGAAGGAAGGCGTTTGTTTAGCTGGTAGTAGATGGATGAAATGATTGTTTCTAGCCGGGACACGTTGATCTCTGTGTTATGATCCAGAGTGTTAAGGCCATTATCTCGGAAGGCTTCAATCATATTCCAGATATCAACAAGATGAACTAAAAACAAAGGAAAAAAAATTAACTTCTATTCTGTAAGGCATGCAAGGTCACTCTGATGGCACCGCTTATGAAAACCGTGTTAGCTTTTCTTTAGAATGAGAAGTTATTTGTATTCAAAGCGAGAGAACAGACTCCTGAGCTCACACTCACAGCTGTGCAAAGGAACAGAGCAGTGCCCAGGCACCTCACGTGCCTTTCATTCCACCCTTCAACATCTGGTGCTCTGTCAGCAGCGATTCCTAGAGGAGCAAAGCCATCCCCCCAGCATGCAGTGTGTGTTTTAGCAGAGTTAGAGACATCAGCCACAAGCCCTCCCTGGGAGGGTGGGCAGGCCCTGGCACAGGTTGCCCAGAGAAGCTGTGGCTGCCCCTGGATCCCTGGAAGTGTCCCAGGCCAGGCTGGATGGGGCTTGGAGCACCCTGGTCTAGTGGAAGGTGTCCCTGCCCATGGCAGAGGTGGGGCTGGATGAGCTTTAAGGTCCTGCCAAACCCCCAACATTCCATGATTCCCCGATACTCTAAATTCACTACAGATTGTTTACAGTAATTTTGAACACCCTCATGCTGACTAGCAGAGTCTTGAAGGAGGAACTTGATGTTCCAGTTGAACTGTGACTGTTTCCAGTTGATCCAGTTGCCAAATCCTGAGCATAACACAGGTCTAGAACTCCAAAGCATTTTTCCAAATTACCCTGCCATATATAAACACATATCTAAGGAGTGCTAACAACAGGGAGGAAACATTTCCCCAACCACAGTTTGGGAAAATCTGCAGAACCACTTTGAATAGTACTTTGAAATGTTTCAAAGCTCTAAGCTATGCATGACAGTGGAGAAGACATCTAAGGATCAACAGCAATCCAAACTGAACACGACCCAGCAGCTGCAGAGGACAGACCTGTGTGCTCACCACTCCTGGGATCTCCCCAAAAAAAGGGTGAGCTTGAACATTTCTTACATTCAACTTGCCTTCGTATTTCTCACGTAAAAGCCACGACAAGGACAGAGGCCAAGCTGTGACCCCCACCCTGGATCAGCCTGTGGCCCAGGCACAGCTCAAACTGCGCAGCCTCATCCTCAGATCCAGGGATGGCAAAGGCTGCTCAGGGCAGGGCAGCAGTGAACTGGGCCCACTGCAACGTACCACAGCCAGCACTTCCTAACCCCTCTCTGCTGCTACAGAGATTTTTAACTCTGAGCCATGAACCAACAGCCAGGAACCAACACTTTTTGCCCAGGATTGGGAAATCTCTGAGCCATCCACCCAGTGAATGGTCACCACAGCCCCGTGACACAGGGGCACTGTGCAGGGACAGGTGTGCTCCCCAGGACACCTCAGCTCTTCTCCTGGCCCCCACCACGCCAGACACAGCAATTCCTCTGCCCTGGCAGGCGGGATCTGCTCCTGCACACGTCGACTCGTCCAGCGTTTCGCTGGGTCCAACTCGGGCAGAATGCCAAGCGTCCCACCCGTTCACCTGGGATTCACCTCTGCTTTGGGGAGCTACCCAAGCTCAGAGGGCCGTGGAAGAGAAGGAGAAAACTCACACTGACAGTGGGGCATGAACTTGCAGAATTCTCTGTGGTTGCTCCACGTCACAAGGACCACCCGGACACCTTCCCACAGGGACCGCCCTGTGCCTGCCGGCAGCTGCTCTGTGCTACCCCAGCGTGGGACAGCCCCTCAAACAGCCCAAGCTGCCTGCACCCAGCAACGAGGGCAACGAAACACATCACGCTGGCCCTTGCACTTTACATTTTCTGAACATTAAAGAATTAACCTGAAGAGATTGTGGAGCATCGGACGAAGATCGCCGCCTCTTTTTAACTACACATGTAATCTCTGTTTCGTTTGAGTAACAACTGCCACTGCCTGACAAAATGTTTACTCTCCAAACACTCAGAACTGGCAGGGGTGGAGGTGTGAAACATGCACGAGCTCTGCCTGCAGACCAAGGGTGCCCACGACTTACGGTTACAGCGTTTCTGCACGAAGCGCAGCTTGCAGGCCGTGCGGTACGTGGAGAGCCTGATGACATCGAAGTTCTGGGCTCCTGGGAACAAACACAAGGTGTTGTTGCTCCTTCCTCTGTCACACTCAGCTTACTGAGAACAGTATGAGTGACTCCTCACAGGTATTCTCCTGTGGGGCACACGAGGGAGGGGATCCTGCCCCTCTGCCCCCTCAGCTGAGACCCCCCTGCAGAGCTGCCCCAGCCCTGGGGAACAGCAGCACAAGGACGTGGAGCTGCTGGAGACAGCCCAGAGGAGGCCACGGAGATGCTGCCAGGGCTGGAGCCCCTCTGCTCTGGAGCCAGGCTGGGAGAGCTGGGGGGCTCACCTGGGGAAGGGAAGGATCCAGGGAGAGCTGAGAGCCCCTTCCAGAGCCTGCAGGGGCTCCAGGAGAGCTGGAGAGGGACTGGGGACAAGGAATGGAGGGACAGGACACAGGGAATGGTTTCCCACTGCCAGAGGGCTGGGAGAGGTGGGAGATTGGGAAGGAATTCTTGGCTAGGAGGGTGGGCAGGCCCTGGCACAGAGCTGCCCAGAGGATCTGTGGCTGCCCCTGGATCCCTGGAAGTGTCCAAGGCCAGGTCAGATGCCAAGGTCTGCTCTTGGCTCACATGAGCAGTTTTATGTTGGCCAACAACTAAAGGTCCCTGAAAGCACCAATTTTACACATCTGCATCTTCTCTGGGTAAGAAACTCACCTGGAAAAGAAAAACGTTGATGTTGACTCTGAAGGGAAATATTCCACCAAAGGACAGGTGGAGTTTGAATACCTGTGAGCTGTGCCAGGGAGGTTTTGGCTGGATCTCAGGAAAGGTCCTTCCCCCAGAGGGTGGTTGGGCACTGAACAGGCTGCCCAGGGAATGGGCACGGCCCCGAGGCTGCCAGAGCTCAGGGAGGGTTTGGACAACGCTCTGAGGGACAGGGGGGGATTGCTGGGGTGTCTGTGCAGGGCCAGGGGTTGGACTGGATGATCCTTGGGGGTCCCTCCCAAGCCAGGATATTTCCTGATTCTGTGACCTCAGGCTTCTCCCAGTGATGACTGAAGAGCCTCACACAGAAAGGTCGTTGGGAACATCCACACACCAGCACTTCAACTGGTCATGAACAGCCACAGCCAGAGCTGCACAAACACCCCTTGGATGGAGAGAACCAGAATTCTGAGTATTTTTAACCACTTAGCCAAAGGTAAAATCCTGGAGGTGGCCCTCTGTACTAAATGATCCTAAGATGAGAACAACCCTTGGAAGTGATGAGATAAAAGCGATACCCCGAGGCACCAGTCAAGGTGATTCCAGTGGGGATGTGCTACTGGGTTGCCAAAGGTTCTGAGGAGCTTCCCTCCAGCACACCAGCCTGGGCAACAGGAAGAATTTCTTCATGGAAAGGGTTGGGCTTAAAGGTCCTTTCCCTCCCAAAACATCCCACGATTCTATGATAAAAATGCTGCTCTGGGAATACTTCAACAAAACAGCGGTTTTAAGAAAGGCCTCCCTCAGTTTGTAACCGGAATTAAGGACACGCTGGCCTAATCCAGAAATGTCCTTCAGCCCTGTGTTCCCCCAGGACAGCAGGGTAAGGGGATGGCATGAAAACATGCAGTGTTTTACCAACCACAGCCTCTCTGCCAGAGAGCCATCCTGCACAAACCAACCCACATTTCTCTCCTGAGTCCCACCAGCACTGTAGGGCCATTTTTAATTCTTTTAAGGCCAAATGTGCTCTGTCTGTTGTCACCATTTGTTTCAATGGTTGTCCACAAACTTCAGATATTGCCATAGATGAGAAATGTGAATGTTCCTTAAAGAAGGAGCTTCCCAAAACCTCGGAATGAATGACCTTCCTGGCAGGTGTGACCCACCTTCTGCACTCTCCTCCTGACCAGCTGCCAGGAGCACTCTGCATCTCTTCCCCTGGGCGAGGCAACGCCTTGGGGAACAGGAGGTGAACGATCTGCTCAAGCTCCCGGTACAGAACAAACGACGTTATGTCTTCAAAGCTCCTACTTACTCATTTCCATGAACAGCTGCCTCTTCTCTGCCATGGTCCTCCTCCTCTTCCCACTCTCCTCAATCATCCTGGAGACAGAAATGGCAAACGCTGTTTGTGTCAGAATTGCTGCTACGAGAGCAACTTGCTGCGAACAACGCGGTTTTGTCCCTCAACCGAAACAGTCTGATCCATTTGGTGACTGGAAAGACCAGCAGAAAGACAGGATCTCTCATAATTATCCTGTTCCACAACACACACACACACTTCAGGCTCGTTAGCACCCTCTGGGGGGAGGGGGGGCACAGGAAACATTAACTCTGAACGTTTTAATTGCTCATGCTAAGTTTGAAAAGCTCGGGGCAGCATTAATACATACACAGAAATACCACTCGTGGAATGCCTTTGTGTTCAAAGGGGGGTTTGTTTGCAAAACAAAGAGCAAGCCGAGCCTAAAAAGGTGATCTGGGGGCCTTTGGGGTGCAGGAGGAGAAAGCACATCCCACTCCTTCCCTGGGCTGCCAGAGGTCAGGGACAGCCCTGTTCCCTGCAGGACCACAGGCTCACTGAGGCTGCAAAAGACCTCCCAGGATTTGGGGGGATGTTGGGGTTGGGGGGTTCTTGTCTTTAAAGGAAACTTGTAAAAATTCATTTCACTTTGAAACCCAGTAATGCCTGAGCTCAAATCATACTTGTCAGGGAAGTAAAGGACTTAAACACAATTAAGTTGGAAATAAAAACATGTTATGTTGGTGGCACAGGCCTCCCTTTCTCAGGAAAACTTTAAAGGAGTGACAGCAACAGAAAGCAACTTGTAGCCCAAGGGCAGAGGGCAGAGGACAATTCAGCACCTCTCATGGCACTCTACAGTCCTAAAAGATGCTGAATTTCAGTAAACTCCAGTGAAAAAAAGCAAGTTAATTCAGTTATCATGCAAAAATCTAATTTATAATTTACTTAATTACTAAATTATTCTCCTGTTACCAACTTATGGCTTAAAACTTAGGTTTAAACCAGTGGTTTAAAAACCATTAAATACGGTTTTTAAGTGTCTAAGACCTAAGGACCAAAGGAAAGCACCTCAGTGGCATTTGTTGAGGAGATGTTAAAAGTTTCTCTTCCTTTTCAGGTTCCCAAAATAAATTCGTTTTATTAAGTTCAATGAACACATTCAAAGGGAGTATCTCAGCCAAGGTTTCTCCCCAGGAACTCACCTGTCCCTCACTGCAGGCAGGAGCAGGAGTTCAGTGTCCTGGACACTGGGACTCTGTCCCTGAGATTCATCTTGTCCAAGCTCCAGGTACCCTCACACACTGCCCCAAGCGCCAGAATTTTTGGAATATTTATCTTCATTTCCCCATCACATAAATTATGCAGGTCACCTTGAAGCCCACCAGGTACTGTCCCTGAAATCCCCTTTATTCCCACTACACCCCTGTAAATTCCACAGCAAGGGACTCCAAGGGGCAGAAATCCCCTTGGAGGACTGGATGAAATCACGTGAAATAGTGACTTCATGTTTTAAACTGGTTTTAGGAGAGGTTATTTTACCAACATATAAGGGACAATAACACTTGAATCTCCTGCAACACCAGGAAAAACAAAGATAACACAAAATCTCCCTCTCCCTGGGCTTTGGGCACATGTCCCTCATCCCTCCCTTTCCCTACAGACACCTCAGTCCTACAGTTATCAAATCCCAGAGTGGTTTGGCTGGGAAGAGACCTTAAATCCCACCTTGTTCCACCCTCTGCCATGGGCAGGGACACCTCCCACCAGCCCAGGGTGCTCCAAGCCCCTTCCAACCTGGCCTGGGACACTTCCAGGGATCCAGGGGCAGCCACAGCTTCTCTGGGCATCCTGGCACAGAGAGGCCCCTGCAGGGCTCAGGATGGGAGCTTCAGGGGTCATTCAGGGTGCAGGGGCACCTCACAGAGCACTGACACACAGAATTCGGGTTCAACAGGTCAGACTAACCGGGACAACACACTCCTAAAATTCCAGAGGAGCCAGTGTTCTCCACAAGGAAAACGAGTGATCTGTTCACATCACCCCTGAAATGAACCTGATTGAGGCACCTGCTTTGTCCATGATCCCAGGATCATTTGGGTGGGAAAAGCCCTCCCAGCCCATGGATCCCCCTGTGCCCCATGCCCACCCTGTCCCCCAGCCCAGAGCACTGAGTGCCACGGCCAGGCCTGCCTGGGACACCTCCAGGGCTGGGCACTCCAAACCTCCCTGGGCAGCTGTGCCAGGGCTGGACAGCCCTTTCCAGGATGGAATTGTTCCCAGTATCCAACCTGAACCTCCTTCTGGGCAACCCTAGGCCATTTCCCCTTATCCTGTCACTTGTCTCCTGGGAGAAGAGACCAACCCCCACGTCACTGGCAGATCCTTGGAAATGGCCTATGAAATCTATCAGAATAATTGACAAACCTGGTGTTAGTTCCTGAACAAGGAGATACAGAAGGATCCCTCGGGGATGACGCTGGGAAGAGGCAAGATGGAAAGTCTTTCTCAAGTTCAAAACAGGAATGAACCAAACCCACAGTAACTGCAGCTATGTTTAGGATGCAAATTACAGAGCTGGGCTCACGGCACAGGGAGGGGAAGCAGCAGCTTGTCCTGCACTGGTTGGGTTGGATGTTTGGAGTGGGGAACAGGTTTGGGGTTTTGGGGGGGATTTTTTGGGTGGTTGTGCCATGTAGGTTTTTTAAACACTGGTGGCACAGCGGGTGAGAAAAGTGCCAGGAAACACACACAGACTGGAACGTGGCAGCCAAGAGCTCTTGGGGTGGCTGCTCACATTCCACGGGCACACGGGGGGAAAACCCCTCAAATACAGCAGCAGGGAACCCCTGGATCCCAGAGTGGTTTGAGTGGAAAGGCACCCTAAAGTTCAGCCCATTCCACCCCCTGCCATGGGCAGGGACACCTCCCACCATCCCAGGTTGCTCCAAGCCCCGTCCAACCCGGCCTTGGACACTTCCAGCAACGGGGAGTTCAATATTCAGCTTAGAGCACACCAAGATGTCGCACCTTAGAAAACTGCAGGTGAGTGTGTTTGATGAAAACCTCCACAATCCTGCCATTTCCCTTTATCCTTTCACCTTGTTCCCCCTCCCTCAGGAGCAACACAAGCAACTCTTGTTTAACACAGTTAACAGAAAACCTAATTTATAAATTCCACGCCAGTTAAATGTGGAAACTCCTACACTCAGCCCCCACCTCAAATGGAACTGCACCGTGAAAACTTTACTGATCTCCCTCGTTCAAATTTTTTTGTTTTTCTTTTCTTGTTTATATTCCACTCTTCTGTTGCAGGGTTCTCCCTTTTCCTTACCTTTAAAGGCTCTCTCCTACCCCAGAGCACAGGATGACAGCGCCCCACATTCCTGCAGATGCCAGCCAGGTGCTCCCAGGATTCAGGCCAATACTACAGGACCTTTCTTAGCAGGTTTCGCTCTTCTTGGAGCTCATCAGCTGTAGGTAACGGCCCAAGGGAGCAGCTTCGGCTCCTCCAGCTGAAGGGGGTTCAGCTCAGCCTCTCCACTCCTGCCCAACTGCTCCTATTTTGGACCTCCTGCTCCTCTAGGAACTCTGTCGTTTGGCTTTCATACCTGCAATTCCAGGGGCTTCCTCACTGCTTCTGGATGACTCCAATTTACTCATTAAGTCACTTAATCGGCCAAAGATTTTTTTTCTTACGGTCAATTTTATTTTATTTCCACCTTTAAGATACACTCCAAAGGAGACTCTGACCTTTACGATTTGATAACCATCTCCAGGCAGTGGTTTGCACTGCAACTCAGCCTCATCAGCCAAAGAAAACAGGAATAGAAAAAGAAAAAAAAAGTTAATTTACAAATTATTAAATCTGAGTTCGTTCAGATTCTTGATGTTGCATTTTAGTAGCAGAAATGATATTTAACTGCAGTTGCTGCACGAGGATAAAACTGTGCTCATACCTGTCTATGCTCAGAAATGACTCCTGGGGGCACAGGTGGATCCGAGCTGTGCTCGGCACACACTGGGGGAAGTTCAGCGACATTCTGCCATTTTTCTGATTGGGAGGAACAGATACTCCTCATGGCTCAAGGAAAAGCTTTCAATCCCTCTTAAAAATAGAATTGGGATGAAGATCTTGAATAAAAACTCAGGGCGTACCGGTACTGGCAGGAGAAGTTACTGCCTTCCATCTGGTTTGGACTTCAACTCACATTTTACCATGAATAGTTTAAAATAATTTCTGAACTGTAATAAATATTTTGTTGAAGTATAAAATTAAATTTATTTATTATATAAAAGTGTTTACATTTAGTCATCTTAGATTTCAGTAAAAATATTTCAGTAAAAATAAAAAATATTTCAGTAAAAATATTCTTTCCTAATTTGGACAAAGACCCCTCAAAGACTGCTTTCATTCCCTCATCTCCCTCTGTGGATGCTTTTACTCATTTCTTTGCTCTTCAGGCTCACAGTTCATATTCCAATCTCCCTTTTCTCAGCAGTCAAACATTAATATAACTGATTAAAACCACTTCTTTGTTCCCCTAAACCTCTTCCTAGGGGGAAAAAACTGATCTACAAGTGATTCCAGGGGGACACATCTAACCCCGGGAGGGGAAAAGATAAACCTTTTATATATATTCAAGTGGCCTGGCAACATCTTCTTATAAAGGCTTTTTCAACCATTTCTGACAATTTTTCCAGTTTAACTTCCAATTTCCAAGTCTGTTCCCACCACGGCAGGGATAAGTAACTGAAGTAGAACCGACTGTGCACAAAAGTAGGAAAGGTACTTTAAAATGTTATTTTTGCGTGTCCAGCAAGTACAGGAGCATCTCTGGGAACCAACATGCACCTTCCAGCAGCAGCTGCCCCAAGTCCTGAAGGACCAGATCTCCCACAGATGTTTTTACGGGCTCTGGACTCAAATGCTTGTGTGAGACCTTCACACACCAAAACTCACTTCAGCCTAGAAGGGTGTGAGCGAAAAACCCACTTGGCCAAGAGCCAGGGAGTGGATTATAACTCCTCAGTGATTATAACTCTGCAGTGAAATTCTATCCAAACCAAAGGTTCCTTTTTTTTTACCCCCACAAATGCAGTGGATCCAAAGCTGGTTTGGAAGATTCTGCAAAACCTGCCCATACGACACAGCAAACTTCATTAAACATGAACAGGCATTGAAGTAGTTTAGGGGAAGAAAAATGAGTACTAAAAAATAAAGCTTTCCCTTCTCCACGCTTTGCCATTCCTGTCGGAGCTGTAAGGTTGCCCAAGGCGTGAGATGCCAGCGGGTTTGTTCCTGCAGGACACAGCCTGTGGCACCACAGCCCCAGCCACCCCTCAGTGCCTCGAGCTGCTGGTGTGGAAAATAACTATGGATAGGGACACTCCTGGCTGGGATAAAGCTGGGCTGGGGAATGGTGGGGAACGGAGCCACAGCCAGCTGGGAACAGGCACCAGTGGGGTCACACAGGGATCACAGCTGGGAGCACTCCTGTTTCAGGTTTTCAGCCACGTCCAGACAAGGGGATCGAGGGCACCTCAATCAGGTCATGGACAACACCCAGGGGGGTGGGATGTGGATCTGCTGGAGGGCAGGAAGGCCCTGCAGAGGGATCTGGACAGGCTGGATCCATGGGCACCCTCACACCAGAGACACAGGGAGGGGCTGGAGCAGCAGGAGGGGCTGAGGGAGCTGGGGGGGCTCAGCCTGGAGAAAAGGAGGCTCAGGGGGGACCTTCTGGCTCTGCAATCCCTGACAGGAGGGGGAGACGGGGGTCGAGCTCTGCTCCCAGGGAACAGGGCCAGGAGGAGAGGGAACAGCCTCCAGCTGGGCCAGGGGGGACATCAGGAGGAATTTGTCCCTGGAAAGGGTGGTCAGGCACTGGCAGGGGCTGCCCAGGGAGGTTTGGAGTGCCCAGCCCTGGAGGTGTCCCAGGCAGGCCTGGCCGTGGCACTCAGTGCTCTGGGCTGGGGCACAGGGTGGGGATGGGGCACAGGGTGGGCTCGATTTCAGAGCTCTTCACCAACCTCAGTCATTCTGTGATTCCATGAAAACATCCTGGCCTAAGCCCTAGGATGAGCCCAGCAACCTCACGTGCCCATGTGGTCAGAAATTGATAAAGATTTTACTGGATGCAAGTGAAGCAAAGATGGAACAAGTAACAACACTAACTGTGGGTTTCTTTGAAAACTTTCCAAAGCTTTCAACACTGCTTTAAAAAGAAGCTCCAGGTTCCCTTAGGACAAAACAAAACAAATTCAAGTCCAATAGAGTTCCAAACCATCTGCATTTCTGTCACCTCAGATCTGCAAGTGTCAGTTCAGTGCCCAGAACAGAGAGAAATCCCAGCCCTGAAGAACTCACGGGTCAGGCAGTGACGAGGGTGACGGTGGCACTGCAGGTTCCTGCTCCAGGTGTCATTTTAGCTACCCAGCACTACATATTCATTTCCAGTCCCCAGGAACCGCTCAGCCTGGGGCCCAGCAGATCTGCAGGCTCTGAAGGACAACAGTCTGTGTTTAAACACAGCTTTGCACAGTCAGATCTGTTCCCCAGCAAACCACAGAGAGGGGGCAGAGAGTTCAGCACACGCAGTGCCCACAACACCAGAATGCTTTACTTGAGTAACCAGAGAGCCAAACACTCTTATTTCACTGAACTGCCCCACAGCCTGAGCAGTAGGAATGGGTTTTTACAATCTGTCTGTTGGAGGCTGAAGTAAATGTCTGTATGTGGGATTTACCATGAGCCTGCAAACAAGAGTAAATCCAGCACCCGAAATTGTTTCCTCAGAATAAAGCAGGGCTACTGTTAGACAAGGTAAAGGAAACATTACACCAGGATTTTCAAGGAGTAGGAAGTTGGAAATACCCTAATTAAGAGCTGTGCTTCCCAAAATGCATCTGGCAAACCCTTCCCAGCCATTGTACTGTGCAGGGGCCCAGCACCGCTTACAGAGCACAGGAGAGAGCTCCAAAGCTGCCTCTTCAGCCAAATGGAATATTAATTACTAGGAGATGTTCTGAGTTCCATTGCTGCCCTTCTCCCTGCTGGCCTGGACTGGGGGATGCAGCAGGTGACACACAGCTGTGAGCACCGACAGGAGCCAACCCAACCCAACCCAGGGCAAGCTCTCAGCAAAGTTCACCCAGTGCTCCCCTGGCACAGCTGCAGGGATGGGAAATCCCAGTAACCCCAGTGCAGGGGCAGTGAGAAACACCTGGAAACACCAACCACTTTCCTCACCACAACTGAGTCAGGATAAAAGAGCTTGCTCACTTTTAATTCTTTAATTTCATCTCCTAGATTAACTTAAAAGGTAAAAGGAAAAACGAAGTAAGCCAGAAGTTAAAACTTTAATTGATGGCACAGGCCACTGCTCCTGTAAAACTAAGAGTGTTTCTCCCTTAGCTTTGCCACTTTCGGTTCTAAACAATAAATTAAATTAGGGCCTCAGCTCCCTCCCTGTTTGCTTTATGCCAGAACACCCCCTGTGCTCCCCCACCTCTTAAATCACAGAATCATTTAGGTTGGAAAAGACCTCCACCATCAGCAAGTCCATCTTTTGACCTAAATGAAGTTAAAAGCTGCACTAATGAAGACTGAAAAATACCTCATCCTTGCAGTCAATCAGTAACCACTTAGAATTATTATAATTTTAAGTGGTTTTGAAGCACAGACCATCCTTTATACATCCAATCTTTTTTAAATTTAGTGATGAATTGGCACCTGCCATCATAATTGCCTTTGTTTCCAAAGAGATACACCTGGCCAAATCAAACTCCACAACAGATATCACATTATAAGGTCTCCTCCCTTTCCTTCCAGATCTAGGCTGCCTAAAAGTCTTCACTGGCATAAGTCTTTTAATAAACACTAAACCAAACAAGAGACAACAAAACCGTGATTTCTTCTCCCTGGTACCAAGGGGGAAATAATTAACTTCATAAAAACGTTATGAATTCAGACCCTTATCAGCTGAATCACCCAAAGCTCACCCAGGGCAGCCCCCCCAGCCAGGCCAAGCATGGAACTGCCAGTGGTTACTGCACCAACCCATCCCCACCCCCAAGCCACTGCTTTCCACTGCAAGACTTGATTTTCTCCCCCTTCCCAAGCTGTCCCCGAGTGCACAACGTGCAGTAAATAACTCACAGCCAGGGCTGCACTGCTGGGGGCCATGGAATTACCCCGGGGGGAAATGAAGCCCCCCTCACACAGCACAAGCCCCTGTCCTTGGGTTAGGCCTTCTTCCTAAATCCCCTACACCATCCACCACCTCTCAGCACTGGATTACTGTCGGAACACCGGGTCCTGCCACAAACCAGAGGCCTGACTGCATCAGCTGCAACACAGCCAGCAAGTTCTAAACAAGCCACAGCCCGAGAAAGCAGCAGCCTGCTCCAAAAAACCAGGGAGCTTGGGACAACAGTGGCATGGCTTGTGCACTCAGCAGCACAACAGCCAGCACTGAACAAGGAGGGGGTGTCCCATGGCACTTACAGGGAGGTCCTGGATGTGCCCCCTGACAAGTGGGATCCTGGAAAAAGCAGGAACAAACTCCGGCAGCCTGGACTGGGGAGCTGCTGCCCTGGGACTGACCAAGACCCCGGCAGCGGATTTGGGACGGATTAAACCAGAGAACAAGACAAGAAGCCTGGGTGTTATAATGGGAACAAGGAGGAGCCCAAAGGGGATTTAAAAGGACAACGTGGTCAAGGAAAAGGCCTCACCCAGACACCTCTGGAGCAGCATCCTGGGCAGATGGAAGCAGAGCAAGGATCTAGGGGTCAGAGGAAACTGGAACTGAAACTTTTTACACAACTGGTTCAGGCTCATGGAATGGTTTGTCACACCAGGCAGAGCACAGAATGATCAAAGGTTTGGGTGGGATGGGACCCTAAAGCTCATCCGGTCCCACTCCTGCCATGGGCAGGGACACCTCCCACCAGCCCAGGTTGCTCCAAGCCCCGTCCAGCCTGGCCTTGGGACACTTCCAGGGATCCAGGGGCAGCCACAGCTTCTCTGGGTGACCTGTGCCAGCATCAGCCACGGAGTTTTAGGAACCAGAGTAACCAAAGAAACTGAAAGTACAGAGCACAGTTAAAGGGCAGCAACACCCAACTACTGCCCAACCTGCAGGAACTGCGATTCTGTCCCATCTGCAACTTCAAGCAGCATAGAAACAATTCCCACAGTATCCCTGTGCCACCCTGCCCATTCCCTGTGGCTCAGCAACCCCTCGAGAAGGAGACAGCACTACACTGGAGCTCTGGGCATGGGGAGGCCCTGGTACAGGCTGCCCAGAGAAGCTGTGGCTGCCCCTGGAGCCCTGGAAGTGTCCAAGGCCAGGTTGGACAGGGCTTGGAGCCACCCGAGCTGGTGGGAGGTGTCCCTGCCCGCGGCAGCGAGAGGGGAATTAAATGTTCTTTGAAGTCCCTTCTCACACAAACCATTCCATGATGAGATTCACCTTCCCCAGCCAAGGGCTGTGTCGCACCACATGCCATTCTGTGGGAATTTTAAGTAGAGGAGTGTGTCTATCTCAGAGAGTAATATTTTTACATGTCCATTTTTCCATGATGTAAAATGCAGCAATCCCTGCTCCAGGCCACAGGTTTGTCATAAAAGAAACATTCAGTACCAGTTCTGGGAGCGTAAGAAACAGGCACCTGAAAACAGCATTTGTGCTCCATCCCACAGTCAGTGCCAACAGATCCCGGTACCTGAATCACACGGACAAGCCTCTCAGGGCAGCTCCCACTTCCCTGGGCTCGGCTCCTCCTCCAAACGTTTAACCGACAACCTAAAAAGACGGGGGTAAGGAAGTTAATTGTTTTATCCTCCATGAAAGCAGCGGTTTTCCACAGAAAAATCACATGCCCCGTGTTCCGCAGACACAGCGCGGTGCTGCTTTTGCCCTGGTGGTGTCTCCCGCTGATCCCAAGCGCTGGAGCCGCTCACGGCTGTCCCAGCAGCCGCTGATCCCAAGCGCTGGAGCCGCTCACGGCTGTCCCAGCAGCCGCTGTTCCGGAGCAGAGCGCAGCCCGGCCCGGCCCAGCCCCGCTGCCCGCACTGCCCGGGGCCGCTGCGCGCCGGGGCTCCCCCCGCTCCCCGGCCCGGCCCCCGCTGGACGCTTCCCCCGGGCCCGGCCCGGCGCCCCCGAGCTCCCACCTGTGCCGGGCCGGCGGGCGGGGGGTCCCGGCGGGGCCGGGCGGCTCCAGGGCCGGCGGGGCCGCCTCAGCCCCGGCCGCGCTCCAACGGTCCCGGCCGCGGCGCGCCAGCCAATCACAACCCGGCCCCGCCGGCGGCTCGCGGCCTCCCGCCAATCCGCGCCCGCCTGGCCCCGCCCACTCGCACGCTCCAGCCAATCGGCGGCCAGCACCGCCCGCCGCGCTCCCGCCTCCGCTCCGGCGCGCGCGGCACTCACCCCGCGGCGCGGCGGGAACGCGCAGGCGCAGCGCAAACAGCTGAGGGCGGAGCTCCGCCCTCAACCCTCCCTGGGAGGAGCGGGGCCGTGAGAGAGTGACGGCTGAGACACAGCCCGCCCTCACAACGCTTCCCTCAACCCTCACAGACACAGCCCGCCTCAGAGCCGTCCCCTCATCCCTCACAGACACAGCCCGCCCTCAGAACCCTACCCTCAACCCTCACAGGCACAGCCCGCCCTCGGAACCGTTCCCTCACCCCTCACAGCCACAGCCCGCCCTCGGAACCGTTCCCTCACCCCTCACAGACACAGCCTGCCCTCGGAACCCTACCCTCACCGGTCACAGGCACAACCCGGCCTCAGAGCCGTCCCCTCACCGCTACCACCCGCAGCCATCCCTCCGTCCATCCCCTCAGCTCCATCCCCTCAGCACTCGACCAGCTCAGACCCTGGCGTAGTTTAGCACTGTCGGTCTGTGTTGCTGTCATTAGACCTTCAGCAGCGTTGCTGAAATCATTTGTGCTCCTCGTGTATCAGGACAATTCCAGACACAAACCCAGCCTGGGAGTGGAATGGATGGAGAGCAGCCCTGGGGAGAAGGACTTGGGGGTGCTGGTGGGTGAGAGGCTGGACGTGCTCGGGCCGTGTGCTCTGGCCCCCAGAACCCCCCGTGCCCTGGGCTGGTCCCACAGGGATCGTGGGCAGCAGGGCTGGGGGGATCCTGCCCCTCTGCCCCCTCAGCTGAGACCCCCCTGCAGAGCTGCCCCAGCCCTGGGGAACAGCAGCACAAGGACGTGGAGCTGCTGGAGACAGTCCAGAGGAGGCCACGGAGATGCTGCCAGGGCTGGAGCCCCTCTGCTCTGGAGCCAGGCTGGGACAGCTGGGGGGGCTCACCTGGGGAAGGGAAGGATCCAGGGAGAGCTCAGAGCCCCTTCCAGAGCCTGAAGGGGCTCCAGGAGAGCTGGAGAGGGACTGGGGACAAGGAATGGAAGGACAGGACACAGGGAATGGCTTCCCACTGCCAGAGGGCAGGGAGAGATGGGAGATTGGGAAGGAATTAATGGCTGGGAGAGTGGGGACCCTGGCACAGGTTACCCATTTTCATGATTCAGTGATCCGGGATAACGGGAACATGGTGGGTGATTTCCAATCAAGAACCCCAAGCACTGCCCAGCTCTGCTGCCTTTCATGGAATTACAGAATCACTAAGGCTGGAATGACCTCTGCTACCCACTTGTCACCGAGCAGCTCTTCGACCCTAACCAGGGAGCAGCTCCCCAGTTTCACTTTCACACTCTGCTACAGACAAACACCTGACTTACGGGAAATCAGCAGCAGCGCCCCACGGCCCCTATAAAAGGGGAGGCAGCCCCCACGGGAGAGCCGGGGCTGGCTCAGGAGAGGGGCTGCGCTGCGCTGCGCTGCGCTGCGCTCCTTCCAGCCCGGCAGCTCCGCGCACGGAGGGAGGGACACGGTAGGACCTTGGGACTGAGCTGCGGGGCTGGGAGCGGGATCCGCACGGAGCGGGGGCTTCTTTGCCTTCTGCTTCCCGTGCCGGGGGGTTCCCGTGGGTGGGGAGATGCCAGGGAAGGAGCCCGTTCCCTTTGCAGCCCGTGCCCGGCTGGAAATGCCGATCCTGCCCGCCCCGGGCAGCGCCAGCCCCAGGCGGGGTCCGGGGGGCTGCGCTCCCCTCAAGGCAGGAGCGGGGGGTGCTGGGGCCCTCCTGGGGCTGGGGCTGCCGCCCGTGCCCCGCGCCGCTCCTCAGGGAGCAGGGCAGCTCCGGGGGGATCGGGGGCACTCCTGGCACCTCCTGCTCCGGCCCCAGGCCGGGGGGACACTTTGTGCTTTTCCTCCTGGGATTGCCCTCTCTTCCAGTGGAAACTTCACCGCCCACGGCGCTCTGGCCCCCGGTGCAGCCCCTCCCAGGCACGAGCGCTTGCAGAGCCCAATTCCCTGGGGAAGGGAGAAAAGTTGGGAGGGGACAGAGCTGGGACAAGTGGCCTGAGGGGACAATATCCAGCAGTGCCGTGAGCCAGCAGCTGCCTTCCCGAGCAGCCGCCCTGCACCCCGAGGCTCTGCTGCCCAGGGAGCAGCTGCACATCGGCCCCCGAGGGGAGTCAGGGGCTGAAGTCCGTCCTTTGCTCTGCCAGCACACCCAGTTTTCCTCTGCTTCCTCCACTCCCCTGATCTCGCCGCCCCAGCCATTTGTCTTCCCTCTGCTTTTCCTTCCTCTGCCCTGTCCCACTGGTGGGAATGCAGGAGCTGCTGGAGGCTCTCCTGGAGCCCCCTCAGGCTCTGGAAGGGGCTCCGAGCTCTCCCTGGATCCTTCCCTTCTCCAGGTGAGCCCCCCAGCTCTCCCAGCCTGGCTCCAGAGCAGAGGGGCTCCAGCCCTGGCAGCATCTCCGTGGCCTCCTCTGGGCTGTCTCCAGCAGCTCCACGTCCTTGTGCTGCTGTTCCCCAGGGCTGGGGCAGCTCTGCAGGGGGGTCTCAGCTGAGGGGGCAGAGGGGCAGGATCCCCCCAGCCCTGCTGCCCACGATCCCTGTGGGACCAGCCCAGGGCACGGGGGTTCTGGGCCAGGTCATGTCCAGCCTCTCACCCACCAGCCCCCTGGTCCTTCTCCCCAGGGCTGCTCTCCATCCATTCCACTCCCAGGCTGGTGTTTGTGCCTGGGATTGCACAGGGGCAGCACCTGCACTTGGCCTTGTTGACCTTCATGGGGTGTCACTGTCCCACCTCTCCAGTACGTTTGGGTTCCTTTTGCAGGGGAACATGGATTTAGGTCCCAGGGGAACATGGATTTAGGTCCCAGGGGAACATGGATTTAGGTCCCAGGTCAAAGGCTGCCCTGGTCTCCACCCCACAAAGGCCCAGAGGAGTCTCTGCTGACGGGGTAATCCCCACTGCAGGAGAAGGGTTGGCCTCCACTGCTCCCTGCAATGAACCCTCCACGTTGCTGGGTTGCCATGTCCTGACTGTCTGGTCTTCTCCTTTAGGATTTGGGGCCTTTCCTTCCCGCTGCTCTTCCTCCGGAATTCTTGAGGTGGTTCCCATCTTCTCCACCCACCGCCGTGTCCCCCAGGCCCGGGGTGTGACGGGGCTGTGTCCCCTGAGCTGGGGACCTTGGCTGGGACCGAGAGGAGCATCAGCTGTGAGGTGGGTGAGGTGACTCAGAGCCCACGGCCAGGGCACAGAGTGCCTCAATCTGCACTGGCCTGAGAGGCAAAGCTGACACTCGAGGCTCTGCAGGGCTCCAGGAGCCCAGTGCCAACCCCTGGGATCGATCCCTGTGTTGCTGAGAGTCCGGTGGCCCTGGTGGGATGGAAGCTGAGGGCAGGGGAAGGGTTTGTGCATGGAATCAATCTCTCCAGGATCCAAGTGAAGGGAGACAGAGACACTCCTCAGGTTTGTGGGACGGTGTAAAAAACCCCAAAGGTGTAAAGGCAGGAGTCCAGTGAGAGCAGCAGCTCCATTAGGGTGAGAATCATGGAATCACAGAATGGCCTCAGTGGGAAGGGACCCACAAGGATCTTGGGAGAGACCCAAAGCTTTCCTGAAATCCAAAAGGATTCCATCAGCTGGCTTCCCTTGATCAGCTTCGTGGGTTATTGGGCAGGAAAAGGATATTCAGTTTGACGAGCAGCACATTCCCCTCAGGACCCTGTGCTGGCTGTGACCAGTGACTGCCTTGTCCTTCAGGGGTTTGTCAGGAACTCCCAGAACAACCTTCTCCACAGTTTTACCAGGCACTGAAGGGACACTGACAGGCCTGGAGTTCCCAGGGTCATCCTTCCTGCCCATCTTGAAAACTGGGACAATGTTCCCCAGCTCCCAGTCAGCTGGGGCCTCTCCACATTCCCAAGCCCATTCAAGAGCCACGGAGAGGCCTCGTGGGGACATGGGCAGCTCTTGGAGTAGTCTCTGATGAATCCCATCAGGCCCCATGGAGACATCTCTGGACAGCAAATCACGGGGGCACCTCTCCGAGACTGCGGCTGGGAAGAGGGCCCAGGATGCAGGCAGGGGGTGGGATGGGCACAGGGGCTGTGCCAGGGATCCAGGGATCCAGGAATGCCCTCGGCTCTCTGCACTTATGGATTTGGGAGTCCTGCTGGGAGGACCTGGGCGATGTTGAAGGCAGCACCTTCTCCACGGCGGGCTGTGTGGCCAAGTCCGCCAGGGCTGGAGCTGCTGCAGAGCCTCTCCTGGGGCCTCTCCCAACAAACCTTAGGGAAAGTCTCTTTTCTTCTTCCCCCACAGCCATGGCTTTGCAGGAGGACACAGGAGAGGGGCAGGGAAAGGCACAGCTGGCAGAGGCACTTCAGAAGGAAGGACTGGACGCTGGATACTGGCTCCCCCAACTGTCCCAGACCCTGGG